CACAACCCCCCCCCAAACACACCACCCCCCCCCCCCCCAAAAAAAACATGTCTACCGTCCCATTCAACGAAATATAATTATACACTTTTTCCAGTGCCCCCCCCCCCCCTCCCAGAAAATTCTACACCCGCCCCCGAAAATTTCAAGTACCCCCACCCCTCTCCGGGGAGGAAAATGTCTAAATTAAAACCACCCCCACTCACCCCCCACCCCCCCCCCCCCCCACACACACACACCACCCCCCCACCCCCCACCCACCCCCTCTAAAAAAAACATGTCTACCGTCCCATTCAACGAAATATAATTATATACTTCTTCCAGTGTCCGCCCCCTCCCCGAAAATTCTACACGCGCCCCCGAAAATTTCAAGTACCCCCACCCCTCTCCGGAGAGGAAAAAGTCTGAAAGAAACACTGGTGTCGCCCTTAGCCACTACCCGAAGAATTGCATTAAAGAAATTGCAAGAAAACCAGTTTTTAGATTAGACACATTAATTAGGCGGTAATTTTATTATAGAGTATCGATGAAGAAATTTCTTTTGAGTTGGGGAGGGGGGGGCTCAGACGTTCTTACGCGGGGGGTAGGGCTTCGCCCCTACCCGAAGAATTGTATGCAAGAAACTCTTCACGCAAACCATTTAGATTAGACAAAATTTCATTTTTAGTCAATGTTTACTCGAGAATCAATGACGTCATATTACTGTGTGCACTCTCTTGAGATTATTTTCTACTCTATGCTAAATGTGACCGCGTCATACTTCGTTTTTCGAATTACTATGCATGTTTTTATTTTGCTTGTGTTTTCTCTACAGCGTTCTTGTCAGATAGATAGATAGATAGACAGACAGCGAAACTATTATATAGAACGAGAAAAATGGCCCGTTGAGGAAGGGTACAACGGGCGCTAGGCTGATAGTGCTGTCTCTTTTCTCTAAACTAAAACCACCCCACCCCCCCACACACACCACCCCCCCACCCCCACCCCCCCCCCCCCCCAACAAAACATGTCTACCGTCCAATTCAACGAAATATAATTTTATACTTTTTCCAGTGCCCGCCCCCTCCCCGAAAATTCTACACCCGCCACCGAAAATTTCAAGTACCTCCACCCCTCTCCGGGGAGGAAAAAGTCTAAACTAAAACCACCCCACCCCCCACACACACCACCCACTTTTGGCTCTTTCGTCTCAAAAGGTTGCCGACCCCTGGATTAGACACATTAATTAGGCGGTAATTTTATTATAGAGTATCGATGAGGAAATTTCTTTTGAGTTGGGGAGCGGGGGGGGGGGGGGGGCTCAGACGTTCTTACGCGGGGGTGGGGCTTCGCCCCTACCCGAAGAATTGTATGAAAGAAACTCTTCACGCAAACCACTTGGATTAGACCAAATTGCCTTTGTATTGAATGTTTACTCGATAATCAATGACGTCATATTAATGTGTGCACTATCCGGCTTGAGATTATTTTCTACTCTGTGCTAAATGTGTCGACGTCATACTTCGTTTTTCGAATTACTATGCATGTTTTTATTTTGCTTGTGTTTTCTCTACAGCGTTCTTGTCAGATAGATAGATAGATAGATAGACAGACAGCGAAACTATTAATACTAAATAATTCTCTTCTGGGAGCCGTTAGAAAACAAGCTGCAAGCGCCTCCTTGCAGTCCCCTCTCTTTCTCTCTATCACTATCACTACCACCCCCACCCCACCCCGCCCCCACATTGTCTGGTGAGATGTGGTCACGCTAAATGTTTACAAAGCTAAATGTTTACAAGAGCCGTAGAGTCGGGTTTCTATTTGGGGCAGATAATAATAGTTCGATTTTAAACTTACAGGAGGTAACTAAGAAATAACTAAGAGGAGGCTGCTTTCACGGGGGGGGGGGGGGGGGGGTGTAGGGTCGGGGTTAGGGGAAAGGGGGGGGGGTTTGGTTTTAAAGCAAATATTTTCAGTGGCAGCATTGGTACTGTCGAATTCACAAATTATGAATTACTGAAAAGTAGAAAATAAAACAACTAAATAGCGGCGTATGATACGCTGCGGGTCGGCTCGTATCTCTATAAATAAAAAAGTTATGCGATTTTTAAAAAAGCAAAATTTGGTAAAAAACTGATTTTCAAAAAGTGCCATTTTTGAGAACCCATATTTTCTAAACTAAAGAACATAGAAGTGTAGAAATTGGTAAAAATATTGCAAAGTTTGTAATATACATGCACATTTTTTTTCAGTCATCTAAAATAAGTAGTTCTAACGTAAAAAAAAATAATTGAAAATGACAAAAATGCGTTTTGGTCATTTTTGTTTTCATACATAGAATAACTCTAAAACTATTGTGTTGGTAACATTAACAGGAAGAATGTGTTCATTATTTTCAAAAATCACATGAGTTAAAATATTTTTTTAAAAATGCCACAATTATATAGTGCAGGAGAAACAGAATCAAAATTTAGTGGGGTAATGTAATCTAATGTAATCTAATAAAGACGTGATGCCTACGAGTGATGCAGCAGTTGATGCTACATTCAAACCTATCGGGTTGATAACTGCTTTGGGGGAACAGTTTTTAAAACGACAACTCCACATCTTTGTATGTCTTGTTTCCCTCAACCTTGATCTTGTGGAGCATCAAGAGTAAGTGATATGTTTTGAGAACTGTAGGGGGGGGGGGCTTGGCCTTCTTCCCTTCCCTTGTAAGGAAAGTTCTGGATAGGCCACCATAAATGTTTCCAGCTATGGAATAAATAATTTTGTCACAGGCTTTTTTCCTACCTTTCTATAACATACACACAAAAACCAAAAAATCAAGCCTTGTTTCTGCAATTTTCATATTTTATTGGTTCATACAAGCATCGTGTTCAGCTCCAGACTTCGCCATGTTTTTTCCTCTCGTGCATGCTTACACCCACACTATCTTTTTAAATGTATCTCGCCTTTTTCTGACACATACTCTTCAACATACATTCATATATATTTAACTGTTATACGCCCTTTCTCCCGTTTAAAAAAATTAATTTATTAATTTTTTTTGTTATATAAATCACATTCACTAGAAAATCTTCATTGTACATGTAACAGTTAAATGAAAATCATGTTGAAAAACAAACTTGCTAATGAACATCCTAAATTATTTTATATTTACACTTACTAAATTAAAACAATGATATTCATAAAATACATGGCAAAATGTAAAGCGTCACCTATCTTATAAGTATCGCCATTAAGAAAATTTTTAACTAAGGTAAACCTTCTTAGTGTAATAAGAACAAATGACTCTAACTAAGGAACATCTCTTCTTAGTGTAACCGAAAAATCATTAAACCTCCTTAAGGAATATTGCCTATTAGTGTATCTCAAAATAAATCTAACTGAGGAAAACTCTCTTTTAGTAGAACAAAATTATAGCTATCTAATAGCTCCCATGGGCAAATCATATCCTTGATTTCCCTACTTCACTGGCTGAGGTAAACTCCTCATCATAACATATGTAAATGACCACATCTGTCAGCTCATACTGCCATAATCATGTTCATTACTTAACAAGATATAGAGTATACATATAAATCACAGAAATACAACAAAGTGTATGTTCATTTTCATTACTAAATTAAAATAGTGTTAAAACATATTTATACAAGTCATGTTATGAAACATGACTTATTCCTATCTTGCTCACATTTTTAAAATGTTAATTGTCTCTGGAAGTAAATATCACATACTACATTATTCAAAATTTCCTTATAAGGATTGGCTGATATGTCTCAGGTCATTATTTTTTTAAGTCTGTTCCATGTTTTTTTTTTCATCTTCAATCTGTCTTGATAAGAAATCAGCTAGTGTATTGTGCTGTCCCTTTACTGTTATTATCTCAAACTTAAAATCTAATAAAATCAGTGCCCATCTATTTATTTTGCTATTCATGATCATTTTCTTATTGATTGTGATTAATGGCTTATGATCTATTCTAAGAGTGTCTTCCCAATAAATACTTCTGTAATTTATTCAATGCCCACACAATTGCTAGGCACTCTCTCTCAATCACTGCATATTTTTGTTCTGTTGGTGATAATGCCCTGCTGAGTTATTGTACTGGGTATAGTGTATTGCCCTTTTCTTGCATTAAGCAGGCTCCTAACGCTACATTTGATGCATCAGTAAAAAGAGTGAAATGCTTACTAAAATCTGGTGACAGTACCTTGTCACTCATGAATTCAGCCTTTATTTTATTTAAGGCACTTTCACATTCCTGTGTCCATACTAGTTTAACTTTGTCTTTGGATAGCAATTCTCTTAAAGGAGTAGTAAGTTCAGCATATTTATCCACAAAAATATTATAAAAATTGCATAGTCCCAACAATGCTTTCACTTCTTTCTTTGTAGTAGGAGTTTTGATATTTAATATTTTGTCCCTATTTCCTTCAGTAGGTAGTCCAAACTGAAATTAACTATTGATTGCAGACTTCTGGAGTGAGTATGTCATGAAAGAACTTTTAATTGTAAGGTCTATGCCACAAATGTTATAAAAATATCTCAATAAATAAAAAAGTTATGAGATTTTTAAAAAAGCAAAATTTGGTAAAAAACTGATTTTCAAAAAGTGCCATTTTTGAGAACCCATATTTTTTAAACTAAATAACATAGAAGTGTAGAAATTGGTAAAGTTGCTGCAAAGTTTGTAATATATATGCCCAATTTTTTTCAGTCATCTAAAATGAGTCTTTCTAAGGTAAAAAAATAATTGAAAATGACAAAAATGCGTTTTGGTCACTTTTATTTTTATAAAAAAAAAAAAAAAATCAATTTTTTTTTTTTTTTTGCTTTGGAATAACTCTAAAACTATTGTGTTGGTAACATCAACGTGGAAAAATGTGTTAATTATTTTCAAAAATCACATGAGTTAAAATATTATTTTAAAAAATACCACAGTTATCTAGTGCAGGAGAAACAGAATCAAAATTTAGTAGAGTAAATGTAATGTAATGTAGTTTAATAAAGACGTGATGCCTACAAGTGATGCAGCAGTTGATGCCACATGCTTTGGTTTCTTTTCAAACCTATACGGTTGATAACTGCTTTGGGGGAACAGTTTTTAAAACTACAACTCCACATCTGTGTACGTCTTGTTTCCCTCAACCTTGATCTTGTGGAGCATCAAGAGTAAGTAATATGTTTTGGGAATTGTAAGGGGGAGTGGGGTCATGGCCTTCTTCCTTTCCCTTGTAAGGAAAGTTCTGGATAGGCCACTGTAAATGTCTCCAGCTATGGAATAAACAATTGATTTAGTGATTAATAAAATAGAATTAAATTTACTACCAGCCTATTGTGTAGGCCTACTATTTGTCCTATGACTATAACTGGAAACATATGAAAAAGCCTGAAAACACCTTTTTGTTAAAAGTAATTTATACTTTATATATATTTTTAAGAGTAATTCTACTGAATGAAATTTGAAATATTCGTTGCTTGTGCCACACTGGTTGAGATATCCAATAATGAAGATGCCATACTGTGGTTCTCAACATCCTATAGGACAACTTAACTGTCCTTCATTGTTACTATTATATGCATATAAAATAAATAAATAATGAGAAATACTACTAGTACTACTTACACTTACAACTAATATAACATTTAAAACTAAGTCACAACATGTAGAATCTTAATAAATTGCACCACCATCTAAAAATTGATCTGGTACATTTTATTACGGAGACTGGCGCAGACCATTTCACATTATTTAGCAGGGGAATCAGAATCAGAGCACACAACAGAAAATAAAAAAAATTAATCACATTAGTCCTTAAAATTTAGTGTCTTTTGTTTTAAATAAATCGATAAAATGTATAGTTATTATAATTATACATTTCTTTTGTGTTTCATTAATATTTTATAAGTATTTAACCTTCGTTCCCTGTAAATAATTGAGTTCGTCCACATAGTAACCAAGATAGTCTGGTGGCCATTTTGAATTTGTCGATTCATAATTTTGACGTGATAGTCCAGATAAACTGTAGTAATACGACCCTATCATTGATCCCAGTCAATAGATTTTAAAGAATTAGTAAACACTAGCATCTAATAGTTAAGTGCATCCATATTTTAAGTCCCTAGAATGTCCTGAATTAAATAGCTTCACGTCTAAACACACCCTGTGTACAAGCGTAGTTCACACGCTAAAACCGTGGACTTGAAGCGTTCAAATTTACATTAATAACGTGTACTAATTAAACCAAACTGACATTCAAACTTAAAATTCATTTATTAAAATGGAAATGAAACTTTTAAAATGATACTTACAACTTGTTTGAAGGCTCTAGCAAGGGTAAAATCCGTTTAGCATCATCGGTCGTCAACCTTTAAAACCGTTCGGCGAGCAACTTACTCGGGGCTGAAAGTCGACTCGAGGGTTATATGTTTATTGGGGGTACGGCTTCGCGACCGTAAATCAGAAATACTTGAATTTACAACACAAAGTAGTTATAAAACTGAACTTTACATCGGTGTAAAAATTGAAACAGAATTAGTTTGTTTCCGTGTATATATCGTCATTTAAAGTTTAAAATCTGTATTTTTTAAATGAAATAAATAAGTTATTTTTTCAATTTATACATCAAATGATAGCCTAGAATTCGATCTTTAAAATGACATTAAGATTATGCTTCTACGATGCTTCGTCGCGAAGCCGCGACCAAATAAAACAGTGTGGGGTCGATCGGTACACGCAAAACGGTGAAATTTGTTGACGTAACTGATACTTTTCAAACAAATATAAAACACATTCAGACATGTGTTACAGATATAAAAATACCAGATTACGACAGATAAAGACTTAAACTTTATTGACATATAATTTTTATTCTTATAGGACAACTAGAAGTAGTGAAATTTTATTTTTGAAAACCGCAAAAACTGACCATAAAACGCACTTTTTCGCCAGTTTGGACTACCTACCTTCAGTAGGTCTAATTTCTTTATTTCCAACCTTAAATCCTAGGAATTCTACTGTATCTACTCGCACATGCAGTTTCTCTGGTGCTATGGTAACCACATGTTTTCTAAGTCTTTCTAGTAGTTCTTTTAGTGATTCTGTGTTCTGCCCATGTGTTATTATGTATGCATATATCATCAACAAAGAAGACCAGGTTTTTCATTCCCTCTGTCATTTTATTCATGAATTTTCAGAACGTGGCGGTACTGTTCACAAGTCCGAACGGCATCACCTTCCATTGACATAGACCTTTGCTTGATGTAAAGGTGGTGTATTGTCTTGACTCCTTTTCCAGTCCTATTTGCCAGAAGCCTCTGTTCAAATCACAAGTGGTGAAAATTGAGGATTTACTGATAGTTTCCAAAATGTCTTTAGGATCATTCATGGGTTCAGCATCTATCTTAGTCCTTTTATTCAACTCTCGATAGTCACAACATATCCTTACTTTGTTATTCTTTTTTCTTACTATCACCATGGGTGATGAGTATGCTGATTCTGTTCTTTCTATTTGCCCAGACTCAAGTAGAAAATCCAGTTCTGCTTCAACAGCTTCTCTATAAGCAACTGGTAGGCTACTTGGTAATGCTTCCCTTTCATAGCACTATAATCAGTCAATTCTATTTTGTGTTGAATTGTTTCAGTAAAACCCATTTCTGTTGTAATTACATCCTTGTACTCATTTACTATTTTGTCTGTTATGTTTTTCTCATTCACTGGGATATGATTAGTCTTAATTTCTTGTGTATTACAGCTTTCACTTATTATAGTACAGGCCATATGTTCCTCTTCTATCAGTTTCTTTGGCTCTACAAATAATTTCTTTATTCTGTCTATGTGTATAGGAGTGTTATTTCCCTTTATGTTTATTTCATAGATAACATCAGATAGTTTCTTGATTATTTCAAAAGGTCCTTGAAATGCTTCTATGTTTTTTCTGTCTGGCAGTTTGACAAAAACTAAATCTCCTCTTTCAAAAGTTCTTAAATATCTATGTTTGTTTTTTATATTTCTGTGCCGTTCACTGGCTAACTGTGCATTCTCTTGGGCTGTCTGGACACCATAAACTATTCTCTCTCTAGTCTGGTATACTAGTTCATGAGGATCAAATTCCTCTTCATGTTTATTTAATAATTTGTGTTTCAATAAAGTTAATGGGCCTCTTGGCTTTACCCCGTATATCAGTTCAAAAGGAGAAAAACCTGTTGACTCATGTTTAGTCTCTCTGTATGCGAATAGTACTTGAGGTAAATACTTGTGCCATTCACCTGGGCGATCCTCTGTTACCTTTTTTAACATAGTCTTCAGTGTTTTATTCCATCTCTCATTAATCCCATTTGCTTGTGGATGGTATATGGTACTATGTACTTGTGCAATGTTCAAGAAGCTTGTGAATGCCTTTGTCAATTTGGCTTTAAACTGTGTTCCATTGTCCGATAAAATCGTATCAGGATAACCGAATCTTGTACATACACTCATCACAGCATTACAGATAGCTACAGCTGTAATCTCTATAAGTGGTATTGCCTCTGGCCATCTGGTTGCCCAATCCACTATAGTTAATATGAACTTGTGGCCCTTGGAAGTAGGGTGTTCCATAGGTCCAACTATGTCCACAGCTATTTTTTGGAATGGTCTTGTAACTCTATCTGTCTGTTGTAGAGGTGCATGATGTTTCCCATCAACAGGATTGAGTCTTATGCATTTGGTGCATTTTTGTATGTGTTTCTTAATGTCTTCCTTCATTAAAGGCCAGTAGTAATCTTCCGTTATTCTCTCAAATGTATTTTTTTCTGCCATGTGTGCCCCCAATGGACTGTCATGTGCTTGTTGTACTATCTTTGTTCTCATAGTTTGTGGCACTACTATCTGAGTCTTTTCATTATTCTTGTTATCAATATATTTCCTGACTAAAACATTATTTTCTTTAGTGTACTTAGATCCCCTGGCATTCATGTAACTTGTATTGATGTTTTTCAGTATATTTTTGAGAGTATTGTCTTCTTCCTGAAGTTTAATCCATTCATTTATATCTTCTATTAATTCTGTGTTGCTTTCCTAATTGTCCACACTTCCCTGATTTGCTTGTTTCTGTGCTCTTGTCTCAACCGCTGCTCCAATTTGACTTTCCCATCTATCTATATCTTCCTCATTACTTTCTTTCACCTCCTTTCCATTCCCAATAATCATATCTGCTATTGGCTCTTCCATGACTGCCACTTTATATTTACCTTTCAGCCAAGCAGAATCTATATCAACTACTGCTATCTTACACTCATCCTTAAATTTCTTGTTGGTATATGTCATCTTCATTATGCCAGGAATGTATTGTTCTGGTCTTACAAGACTTTTCTTAACAATAATGCACGTGCAACCTGAATCTCTGAGGCACATTACTCTGACATTGTTTACTATAGCTGGGAACATCTTCAGTGTTGTATTGCTTTGTGTAACAGATGCCACTGTCTCTGACCCTTCTACCCCTGCTGATGTCTCTTGATTGTTATTTCTACTATTTCTATTTTCTCCCCTGTTGTCTGGTCCCATTCTTGGCTGTCTACTTTGATTGTGGAATTCATTTCTACTTTGTCCACTATACTGTCCTTGTCTGTAATAATTACTTTGATTTCTATAATTATTATTAGGTGCATAACCTCCTCTGTTATTATTGCTGAGATATGTATCTCTATTTTGTAAGCTGAAACACTCAGACTTTACATGGCCTGTTTTCCCACAGTGGTAACACTCTGTGCATCTGCTATATTTATATCTGTCTGGTTTCCATCTGGTAGGTGCACTATTACTTCTATATCTATTGTTGTTGCCATACTTTCTTTGATCCCTGCCAGAGTTCCTACTGTAGACTGCTGCTGAAATCTCTCCCTGCTCTCTTTTGTCCAAAATAGCCCCTGGATGTGCATCCTTATAAATATTAAGTTGCTCTATTAATTGTTTCTGTGTCCTAACTTTTCTTTCACTCAAAAAAGTGAATAAACTATCTGTTGCATTGTTTAAAACATGATCTATCAGGTTAAGTTCAATAATTGCCTCAGGATTCTTTAAGTCTATTTCTGCCAATTCTAGTCTTTTTATTCATGCATTTGCGAATATAAAAAATGATCTGGTTTATGTCACCAGTGTTGTTAATTCTAGCGTCTCTTATAGTCTTTCTGTAATAGTCTTCTGTCTTTCCAAAATGTTTCATCAATCTTTCTTTTACTAGGTCATAGTCTTCTTTTTCAGCCTCAGATATACTTGCTATTATGGCAATAGTCTCTCCTGTCAAATTAGTCAATAAAGTCTGTGCCTTCCAAGCAGATGAATAATTAAAGCTCTTGCATGTTTGTTCAAAGAGTATTAAGTAAGTTTCCACACTTTCTTCCTGGGGTTTAAATGCTCTGAATTTAGACTTCCAATTGTCCGTTTTGTTAACATTGCTGTCTTGAGATTGGTTACTTTTAATTTTTTCTAATTCTAACTCATGTTGTCTCTGTTTTTCTCTATCTTCTAATTGTCTGTTTTTCTCTATCTTCTAATTGTCTCTGTTTTTCTCTATCTTCTAATTGTCTCTGTTTTTCTCTATCTTCTAATTGTCTCTGTTTTTCTCTATCTTCGGCCTCCATTTTAACTTTTTCCTTCTCAGCCTCCATTTTAATCTTTTCCTTCTCAGCCTCCATTTTAACTTTTTCCTTCTCAGCCTCTATTTTAGCTAGATCTAGTTCCTTATCAGCCTTTATTTTGGCTTTAGCTAATTCCCTCTCTAGTTCCTTATCAGCCTCTATTTTGGCTATTTCCTTATCAGCATCTATTTTAGCTTTAGCTAGTTCCCTCTCTAAAGCTCTGTCTTCCCTTTCAATTGCATCAGCCATCTTCTTTTCAACCCATTTAGCCTTTTCTGCCCCAGTGTATCCTAACGAATCAGCCAACTCAATGTATTTGGCATAGTCCTCCATCGTAATGGTCCAAGAAATTAGAAAAGTTATTCAGTTACAATACTAAATCTAATATTAATAAAATATAATTAAATTTACTACCATCCTATTGTGTAGGCCTACTATTTGTCCTATGACTGTAGCTGGAAACATATGAAAAAGCCTGAAAACACCTTTTTGTTAAAAGTAATTTATACTTGATAGTATATTTTTAATATTAATTCTATTAAATGAACTATTCGTTGCTTGTGCCACAATGGTTGAGATATCCAATGATGAAGGTGACATACTGTGGTTCTCAACATCCTATATTACAACTTAACTGTCCTTCATTGTTACTATATGCATATAAAATAAATAAATAATGAGAAATACTACTAGTACTATTTACACTTACAACTAATATAACATTTAAAACTAAGAGACAACATGTACATTCTTAACAAATTGCACGACCATCTAAAAATTGATCTTGTACATTTTATTAAGGAGACTGGCGCAGACCATTTCACATTATTCAGCAGGGGAATCAGAATCAGAGTGCATAGCAGAAAATAATTTTTTTTTAATCACATTAGTCCTTAAAAATTAGTGTCTTTTGTTTTAAATAAATTGATAAAAATTTATAGTTATTATAATTATAAATTTCTTTTGTGTTTTATTAATATTTTATAAGTATTTAACCTTCGTTCCGTGTAAATAATTGAGTTCGTCCACATAGTAACCAGGATTGTCTGGTGGCCATTTTGAATTTGTCGATTCATAATTTTGACTTGATAGTCCATATAAACTGTAGTAATACGACCCTATCATTACCCCATTCGATAGATTTTAAAGAATTAGTAAACACTAGCATCTAATAGTTAAGTGCATCCATATTTTAAGTCCCTAGAATGTCCTGAATTAAATAGCTTGACGTCTAAACACACCCTGTGTACAAGCGTAGTTCACACGCTAAAATCGTGGACTAGTAGCATTCAAATTTACATTAATAACGTGTACTAATTAAACCAAACTGACATCCAAACTTAAAATTCATTTATTAAAATCGAAATGAAACTTTAAAAATTATACTTACAACTTGTTTGAAGGCTCTAGTAAGGGTAAAATCTGTTTAGCATCATCGGTCGTCAACCTTTAAAACCGTTCGGCGAGCTACTCACTCGGGGCTGAAAATTGACTCGAGGGTTATATGTTTACTGAAGGCACAGCTTCGCGACCGTAAATCAGAAATACTTGAATTTACAACACAAAGTAGTTATAAAAGTGAACTTTACATCGGTGTAAAAATTGAGGCAGAATTAGTTTGTTTTCGTGTATATATTGTCATTTAAAGTTTAAAAACTGATATTTAAAATTAAATAAGCAAGTTATTTTTTGAATTTATACATCAGGTCCTAGGACCTTTGACCACAGGTGCTTTGACCATAGGGGGTTTGACCATAGGGGGTTTGACCACAGCGGAGCTTTGACCATAGGGGCTTTGACCATAGGGGGTTTGACCACAGCGGAGCTTTGACCATAGCGGTGCTTTGACCATAGGGGGTTTGATCATAGGGGGTTTAACCATAGGGTGTTTGACCACAGGTGTTTTCTCAGCAGAGGGTCTTTGATCACAGGTGGTCTATCAACGGGTGTTTGATCACAAGCGCTGTGTCCGGCTTTGATCATAGGTGTGATACAATTAATACGATTTAATACATGTTTCCTGAGATTACGTTAATAGAAATTAACATGTATTTTAAAAAAAGCCAAGAACTATATTTTAGTCTCCACATAAAGGCTGGTGCTAGGCCTCATAGATTTATTTTAAATATAAATGAAACACAAATAATGCGACATATAACAAGTTTCGTACACCACCAAACGCGTGACCAGTCCTGGCGTTCTCTGTGTAACCAAAACTCGTGGCCACGATCCAACAAAGTTCTTTTACCTTTTTTCGACGTGCTATACTCTCCAAGATTCTCCATGGTTTTGACATATATACATGTATTTATACATGATGATTTAACATATTATTACATCATGTCGCAATTTAAAATATAATTTATAAACTTTTAAAATAAATCCTTACCATATATGGACAGCATTGGACAAACCACCTGAGATCAAAGACCCTATGTGGACAAAACACCTATGATCAAAGCCGGACGCAGCGCTTGTGATCAAACACCAGTTGATAGACCACCTTTGATCAAAGACCCTCTGCTGAGAAAATACCTGTGGTCAAACCCCCTATGGTCAAACCCCCTATGATCAAACCCCCTATGGTCAAAGCACCGCTATGGTCAAAGCCCCGCTGTGGTCAAACCCCCTATGGTCAAACCCCCTATGGTCAAAGCTCCGCTGTGGTCAAACCCCCTATGGTCAAACCCCCTATGGTCAAAGCACCTGTGGTCAAAGGTCCGCGCACCATACATCAAACGATAGACTAGAATTCGCTCTTTAAAAGGGCATTAAGATTATGCTTCTACGATGCTTCTTCGCGAAGCTGCAACTAAATGAAACAGTGTGGGGTCGATCGGTACTCGCAAAACTATGAAATTTGTTGACATAACTGATACTTTTCAAACAAATATAAAACACATTCAAACATGTGGTACAGATATATAAAAAACCAGATTACGACAGATAAACACTTACACTTTATTGAAATATAATTTTTATTCTTATAGGACAACTAGAAGTAGGGAAAAATTATTTTTTTTGAAAACCGCAAAAAATGACCCTAAAACGCCCCGGGCTTTCCTGTGTTCTCTATGGCGTCTACATTCGTTTAAGTGAGTGCAAAAGACTATTAAAAAGTTGCGGTATTATAATCGTTTACCAAGTTGAATCAGGCGGTTCAGCCGGCGCCCTAGCATGGTGCGATTCGGCACCCCGGGCTAGACTGTAAGCACTTTGCATTTAAGTTTTTCTTTTTGTTTGCGTTTATTTGCATTTTTTTGAGCTATTGTTTGCGCTTAGGTTTGCGTTTGTGTTTCTATTTGTATTTGCATGTGTGCTTTTTTGTTTGCGTTTATGTTTGCATTTAAGTTTGTGTTTATGTTTGCGTTAATGTGCATTATTTTGAGTTATTGTTTGCGCTTAGGTTTGCGTTTGTGCTTTTATTTGCATTTGCGTGTGTGTTTGAGTTTGTGTTTGCATTTGAGTTTGTATTTCTGTTATGTTTGTGTTTTTTCCCGTTTTTTTTTCTTTTTGTGTGTGTATTTTTGGTTTTTGTTGCTTGTGGTTAGGGTTAATTTGAAAAGTAATATATTTTCTAAATCCGGGTGCAAGTCATGATCATTTACAGCTAGGTTTTTTTTTTTTTACAGACGCCATTGCAGAGTCTGGCCGGGACGGCTAGTTCTTAATAAATTTTCAAATCTATTTGAAAAGCATTTCAGTATAAATTTGAATGGAACTTTTCTTGTTCCAAAAATTTTCTTCTTTTATTTTTGTGTGTATTCAAAGAACGAGAAAAATAAAAGTTTAAATGCAGGATAAAGTCACGTCAGGCAAAACTGAGCGGTAAAACGGTTCGATTGTTAACCTATTAATTTGACCTTTCTGGGAATCTGGTATTTTAGGTTCTTACGCCAGCAGAGCTATCTCCTTACCAAATTTCATATTTGTGTCACATCTTCGAGTGGTCGATCTATTTCAAGAACTTTTAAAAATATATACTTAATATTACGCCACTGTCAATCTAGTTCAGTGTTCGGTCACTTTACACTTGATTATTGAGATCGCTATAGTGTTCCCTTTACGTTGAGGATGAGTATCGCTTTTTGACAATAACGGTATCTCTGTAACTTTCCCACAAATACCCGATCTAATTAACCGAGTAATAATGCCAACGTTGTAATATATATATATATATATATATATATATATATATATATATATATATATATATATATATATATATATATATATATATATATATATATATATATATATATATATAATCATATATACTAGCGGAGAACACGCATTGCACACAGGTAGCGGTAGCACGTCCCTTGTGATTGCGTCGTATTGGTGTTGACATGGACATTTTTTCAGTGCAACGCCAAGCAAAATTCATTATTCACTTAATCTGAATCAGAGTCATAATAATTGTGAGGCGGTTTCTTTCTAGCACGAATCTCGTATGAATTATAAATAAATTAAATATGAAATCCAATGCGAAAAGACAATTGCTTACATTTTGATCCACCTTCGACCTGAGAGTAAACAACTCATCATTACTGGACTACACTCAACTAACAAACGCACTATCCCAGGGCATCTAAAAGTGTGTAATCTGACATACAACATTATGCAACACAGATATTACTTTGTCAAACCCATTTTAAGATAACTGCCTACGTGTTTAATTCTAACTTTTTGTTTTGTGGTATTACGTATGACGCTAAGACTACCTTACCTTTTGATTACATTATTGTTGGCAATTAATACAGCAAGTAGTTTAAGTCTAAACCTTTTATTCAATCTTTAATTTATTTTTCAGAATCTGAGAAACAACAGCTGAGAAACTTATCAAATTGTTAAGACAGACATAAGTTACATATAATAATTATTAGAAATCTGCGCTTAATTAGATAGGTATGAAAGATTATCGAATGTTATGAAATAATGCATTGTTACAATTGTGTAAAACAAGGAAAGTGTTTTAAATTACATACATTTTAAATTATTTAGTGAATAATTATTTCTAGATTTAATTAACCATTTTGAAAACATTTAACAACCGTTAGTATAGTCATGTCTAAGTCGGATGATTTGAACGCTGATAAAGAGATGGGAGGCAGTCGTTTAACTGATACACTTAAAGCATCTGAATCTGATTGTAGATACGACAAGGTATCTAAAAGAGGGAGTGATGAAAATGCTAGACTTCTGGCTAAATTTAACTTTATGCAAAGTGTACAAGCAAAAGGAGGAGACTTTGATTCAAAAAGACGTCCAGTATTTAGACCTCCAGATTCGGCCACACTTAAAAATGAAAGACGTCCTGTGTTTAGAACTCCAGATCCGGCCATACTTAAAAATGTTGAAAGAGTATTAGGTTTAAGGTTTTCAATAGATATAGCATTACGAAATACAAATAACGAACAAGTTAAACTTATTTTAGATCGAGGATGTGATGTTAATATTTCAGATAAAAATGGTATGACTGCTTTAATGTTAGCATCAAAATGTGGAAACAATGAAAGTTCCCAATTGCTTTTAGATCTTGGATGTCAGGTAAATATTGCTGACAAAAATGGAAACACTGCTTTAATGTTGGCTTTAAAGAATGGACACCAAAAAATTGTCGAATTACTTTTAGATCGTGGATGCGATGTTAATATTTCAGACAATAATGGTATGACTGCCTTAATGATTGCATCAAGGTATGGCAAATATGAAATTATTAAATTACTTTTAGATCGTGGATGCGATGTTAATATTGCAGACCAAAATGGTATGACTGCCTTAATGATTGTATCACAGTATGGCAACGATGAAATAGTCAAATTACTTTTAGATCGCGGATGTGATGTTAATATTTCAGACAGAAATGGCTCGACGGCCTTAATGTTAGCATCAATGAGTGGACACGATAAAAATGTCAAATTACTTTTAGATCGTGGATGCGATGTTAATATTGCAGACAATAATGGTATGACTGCCTTTATGGTTGCATCATGGTATGGCAGCTATGAAATAGTGAAATTACTATTAGATCGTGGATTTGATGTTAATATTTCAGAACATAATGGTATGACTTCCTTAATGTTGGCATCAAAATATGGAAGAAATACAATTGTCAAATTACTTTTAGATCATGGATGTGATGTTAATAATGCAGACCAAAATGGTAGAACTGCCTTAAGGTTAGCATCAATATATGGGAACAATGAAACTGTCCAATTACTTTTAGATCGTGGATGCGATGTTAATATTTCAGACAATAATGGTATGACTGCCTTAATGATTGCATCAAGGTATGGCAAATATGAAATTATTAAATTACTTTTAGATCGTGGATGCGATGTTAATATTGCAGACAATAATGGTATGACTGCCTTAATGATTGCATCAAGGTATGGCAACTATGAAATTATTAAATTACTTTTAGATCGTGGATGCGATGTTAATATTGCAGACCAAAATGGTATGACTGCATTTATGTTAGCATCACAGTGTGGCAACGATGAAATAGTCAAATTACTTTTAGATCGCGGATGTGATGTTAATATTGCAGACAGAAATGGCTCAACGGCCTTAATGTTAGCATCAAAGAGTGGACACGATAAAAATGTCAAATTACTTTTAGATCGTGGATGCGATGTTAATATTGCAGACAATAATGGTATGACTGCCTTTATGGTTGCATCATGGTATGGCAGCTATGAAATAGTGAAATTACTATTAGATCGTGGATTTGATGTTAATATTTCAGAACATAATGGTATGACTTCCTTAATGTTGGCATCAAAATATGGAAGAAATACAATTGTCAAATTACTTTTAGATCATGGATGTGATGTTAATAATGCAGACCAAAATGGTAGAACTGCCTTAATGTTAGCATCAATATATGGGAACAATGAAACTGTCCAATTACTTTTAGATCGTGGATGCGATGTTAATATTTCAGACAATAATGGAATGACTACCTTAATGATTGCATCAAGGTATGGCAAATATGAAATTATTAAATTACTTTTAGATTGTGGATGTGATGTTAATATTGCAGACCAAAATGGTATGACTGCTTTAATGTTAGCATCAAAATATGGAAACAATGAAAGTTCCCAATTGCTTTTAGATCGTGGATGTCAGGTAAATATTGCTGACAAAAATGGAAACACTGCTTTAATGTTGGCTTTAGAGAATGGACACCAAAACATTGTCGAATTACTTTTAGATCGTGGATGCGATGTTAATATTGCAGACCAAAATGGTATGACTGCATTTATGTTAGAATCACAGTATGGCAACGATGAAATAGTCAAATTACTTTTAGATCGCGGATGTGATGTTAATATTGCAGACAGAAATGGCTCAACGGCCTTAATGTTAGCATCAAGGTATGGCAGCTATGAAATAGTGAAATTACTATTAGATCGTGGATTTGATGTTAATATTTCAGAACATAATGGTATGACTTCCTTAATGTTGGCATCAAAATATGGAAGAACTAAAATTGTCAAATTACTTTTAGATCATGGATGTGATGTTAATAATGCAGCCCAAAATGGTAGAACTGCCTTAATGTTAGCATCAATATATGGGAACAATGAAACTGTCCAATTACTTTTAGATCGTGGATGTGATGTTAATATTGCAGACCGAAATAGTACGACTGCCTTAATATTAGCATCATACTATGGACGAAATGAAATTATCAAATTACTTTTAGAGGTTTCTATTGAACTGCCGCTGGTAAAAAACTGATCAATATTTAATTACGTGAGTTATACAACTAATTATTTAGACCTAGGTCTTTTAAACAGTAATTAACAGTAATTAAATCACTTTAAAGTAGATCTGATGTATGTTCAAAACAAAGTATCCACAATAATTTAGCATCATCGGTGAGTTTTAGTGACTAGTGGGTGTTTTTCCCACGTTTTCTTTAACTTGCTTTCTCTGTTTGTTTTTCCAATCAAATCTTGCGATCGAAATTTCTGGCACTTCCCAGTTAGCTAGCGCGCTGAAATTTTCAGGGAAGCTTTCTTTTGGATGACCGTAGAATATTCAATTGTTATTATTACTAAATTGATCAATGGAAACATTTTATTGAGCATTTTAGACCGCTATATAATCTATATATATATAATTCTCCTCTGCGAGCCATTAGAAAAAAAACGAGCGACGCGTAGCTCGCCTCTCTCTTGCCGCGCGAAGTGACGCGAACGATCCCACGTCGCGACAGGCTTAGGGGCAGATAATTTAGTTTGAACCGACTTTAAACTTACAGGAGGTAACTATTACCACTGGTGGCCAGTTTGGGGGAGACGATATGGTCGAGTGGTTGGGCACACGATTGCTATCCCACTCGACACGGGTTCAAATCTATGTGTTCTAGTCAGTAACCAGCCCTCGTCCTAACCGCTATCAACTAACCTCTGACAATCATTCACTTGCGATTGAGACCAAAGAAGAAAGGGTCTCTCGTTTTTTACGAGTTGTCTTTTTACGAGTTGTCTTCGTTTACCCAAAAAAAAGTGAAAAGATAAAATCGATAGCAAGATTTCAATGCAAACAAACAGACAAAGACTAAAAAGTAGAAAATAATAATCATTAAAATACTAATACTGTTGACTCTCTACAAGCTCCCAAATAAAAGTCAATAGTATTATCTAATCAATAGTAATATAACTTTTACTTCGGCGCCCCACGTTTTTCATCGCTTATAGTAGAGTGATCGCTTGCATTATTGTCTTCTTCTTCTTCTTCTTCGTTCTTAATTATTAGTGTTGAAGGGGATCGAGATTTATCGGCCAGTGGGTTTGAACTTGAGACTTTGTTCGAATTTATCAACCATGAGCTTTTTGCCGACTCGACCACGCCTCCAACACAATTAAGCGTTACGTGTCAACTGGTTATGCGCCATTGAGGCCATTGACTCCGATTTCAGCCTGCTTTTCTTTTTGGATTTGCTTCCATAGCCTTTGTCCAACCAAGAACAAACTGCATTATTGTGATGTATAGCATTTATTTTCTACTTTTTAGTTCAATCAGAAAACGTGGGTTTTTTTTAAACTTTTTTAATGATTATTATTTTTTGTATAATAATAAAAATGGTCCAGCCTCCACCGTCTGTCACTGTGTCACACATGCCCTGAAGACCAGATGTTAGGGTCAAATGTCGAGGGTCACTGTTGTTTACTCTTAAGCATTAATCATGATGGCCTGTTGAAAAAAAACATATTTCCTTCGATTTTATTTGGTGGGTTTTAAAGGCAGTGTTTGTCGTAAATAGATTCGGAAAAGAAAAAAAACAAGATGGTCAAAGCATTGAAGAAAATGTAAGCCAAATTAATACACCCTTTGTTTGCGAATTGGTTGATAAATATCTTAACAATTTGTGACAAATCGCATGCTGCCTATGATAAATCATTTACATAAAATATTGAAAACAATTAAAAAGAAAACTATAAACCATAAGACAAGAGACTTTACATCACCTGTGTAAATGAATAATTCGTGTTTGATATGGAACCATCAGACAGGACCGTTATGTTTCTGGTTGTGTTACACAACTTCCCACTAGTGAAAATTTTAGCCTGAACTTTTTGTTTTGGAGCTTTTAGTGGGACTAACCAGGAGCCTCTTACATCGATTAAACGTTGAAATATAGTGGATAATTGTGATTTATGATTTTTTTTTTGATCCAATAAAAGTTTACTCTTCGTTTTTAATATGAAATGTATAACATTTTACATCTACCACACTTGCTATACGAATCATAGCATATTATCAGTGGTCATCTTGGTCTCGAGTGTTTAGGATGTCCCTGTTTCAGCCCAGCTCTAACGTGTACCTGATTTACGTTCAAGAATCTAACTAGTTGAAAATAGTTGTACCACATTATCGAAACATATCTCTACTTTATTTACTACATATGTCGTGGACATCTATGTTGTGTTTTACTGATGATGAACGAATTGTGATTTTTTTCCTTTGATAATTCTTAACGGCATACCAAGAGAAAAAAGAATTGAGACCATCCTAAATTATCGATACAATTCAATCGTTAAAATGATGTCAAATTTTTTTACATTAAGTTACGGTGTCATGTTCCTAACAGACAAATCAAATTCACCAGCGTGTCGAGTAATATTCCCATGCAATCCAATCACTATAAAATCAACTTGTATGACTTAAATGCGCATATTTCATACCAACATATAAAATGCTCTACCAAAATTTCTACTCAAACTCCCCTACTATCGCGTTGAATCTACTCAAGGTCTACCTCTTCATGCAAATAACCTTCTGGATAACTGGTTGAAAGTCATCATTAGGTTAATCATTCCCCGCTATCTAAGCCATGCCATTATCACCAGATTAATTATCTTCCCAATCTTAGATTAAACCAAAACTAATTATGTGTTTTGAGTGCTCGTGTTAGAAGATCAGTTTTGGTTATAAGAAGTGTTATGGATTTTGTTAGGGATAGTATTAATTGGATAATATAATAGTTAGGGATAAGAATAATGAGTAAATGATTGGGATACAGATACGTTATTACATTATTTTAAAATCGAACAAACGATAGTCTGCACTTTGCAGGATTTTAAATTACCACAAAAATAAGATATAAATCACAATTCATTTTCCGTTCACAAGGGCGACACTTTTGATAACCGCCCTGCCCGGCACTTCTTTCATTACGCCACTGAAAACAGATGACAATCTAATTGTTATGCTTAAAATATTATGTAATATCAAATATATCTACGTGAAAAAGTATGATGTCTAAACAAATAACACTTCTTGTTCGGTTATGTCGCCTGCAGTTGTACTCTCTACTAAACATTCTTTAATGAATAAAATAACTTTCGAATACAAAATATATGTACATCGTGGTAAGTTAACGGTGACGTTATGATAGAATGACAGCAAAACACACTATACTGTGTTAATCAGAGCGCGACATCAGTACTTGTGTCGGCCAAGAGATGAAACGAGGATGTAAACCATATTAGCCTGGGTAGATATTATTTTGTCTTTTTTAGTGTTTTTTACTGAAACAGATGTGTAAAATTTAATACTTTTACTTTAACTACTATTATTCAGTCTATGAGTATTACTGAAAAAATTGAGAAAAAAATGTATTAACTAATTGACTGTTCTATCAGTGTTGTGATTTAAAAGGTAAGTAAAATTGTCGTTAGGTAAGAAATTAATGTTTTTTGTTATAAATTGTATACTACTAGGAATATTTAAATAGTAAAATTGTTTGATTTTCATATAGTTTAAGCTGCATTTCTATAGATGTATTTAGCTTGTACTAGAGTGAACTCGGAATGACTGAATTAAAACATAATAATTTAACCATTAAATATCGATTTATTTTGCAAGCAAAACAAAATATAGGTTTCCTTGTAATAGACAGTATTTAGCTTTGTAATATAAATTTTAATGTGGTTAATATGTTTGTCGATATACCACTTTGTGCAATTAGCGCTTCATCCCTTGCCAATATGAATTACACATAAAACACCTTGACTCGAATTGACTTACATTGCAATTAGGACAGCAATAGGTGACACAGTACAATCTAACAACCCCCTATCTAAACAGGACAGCCCAGTCAAACTTGCTGAGGCTTTATATTTATACTTCACTACTGTTGTCTTGTCTTAGTGTGGTGCGATTATTTCAGTATAATCATATGTAATTTAAGATTTCTACGTTTGTATAAAAAATAATCAACCCTAATTTAAAAAAAAAGTCCGATAAAACATCAACATCATATGTGAGGTTTGAAATATTATTTAATTAAGAATATGTTATTTTCCTATTTCAACTTTATACAAAATATTTTTTTTAAATCATAACTTGTAAATAGAACAGGTAGCCTATATATGTGTTTAATATTATTAAGACTTACTGGTACCCGCGATTAGATCGCAAGCGCTTTGTTTATAGACGGATATCGATTTTAATTAAGTTGTTTTTTCTATAAGGGGATGGAGTGGCCTAGCGGTAGAGAGGTAGACTGCTAACCCTTAAATCTCGAGTTTGAATCCAGGTTGAAGTCAGTAGATAGTCCCTGAGTCCGGCCAGCTATGATGGGTACCCAACTTACATTAGGGAAATTATAGGCAGCTGGGCATAATGCTGACCACACCATCCCTTCATATGCCGAGATCACATACTTAACTTTATTCTAATTATTGGGTTTATATGGCTGGGGGGTGTACTGAATTTATTTTTCAAACACCAAGGTATAATCTATTTCGTTCTTAGATGTATCCAAATCGTCTCCACTATAGTGTGTAGTTCCTAATAAAATATTCATTGTTATATTCTCATATAGCAGTCATGTGAGTTGTTTTCAAAATCCGCATATTATTAAGTAAAATCTCTCTGTACATCACGATTCCATTGTGTAGCTGGATGACACGACATCTTGCAACACAAAAA